AAAACTAAAACACACACGCCCCACCCCTATTTTCCCCCTCTCTCCCACGCTATCAACCCTAACCAGCATCTTCTGTCTTTCTTCTTCTTCTTCTTCACCTCTCTCACACCCCCACCCACTTCCCACTCTCTCTTCCCAAACTCCCATTACTCTCACCCTCTACTAGAACCAGGTATGTCAAGCTTCCCTCTCTCTTCTCTTGTATTTTTGTTTTAGTATTTTGCAAGTTTATTGCTTTAATTGTTGTAGTATTGCTTATAGATTTTTCTTTCTTTTTATTTTCTTGTCTGCTTTTTAGTGGGTTATGTACACAATGTTGTAAAGAAGAGTGTAATTTTGTTGGGTAAACATTAATTGTGGTGGGGTGGAATGGTAAGTGAGAATTGTTGATGTGGAGGGATGAGTTTATGTTTCCAGGGGGCTAGGTGTGATAGCATAGAACCCTTGCTCACAAGGTGTTTGTGAATTTTCCCCAGAGGAGTTGTAATGGCTAATGTGACCATAGGGATGGTGAAGTCTGAGTAACCACCCCGGGTTCACACAACTCAAACCCTCACTAATAGGAGGTTCTGTTTTTGGCAGGTACAATGCATCAATCCAGGAAGATACGTACCACAGGGTCCTCCGCTAGTAGACCGGACAGCTCTTCTAGAGCTCGGGGTCAAGCTAGTGCGGAACAGTTTGACCGCGCTAGGTTTGTCTCCAAACCAGCTAAGGACCGGTATAACGCCAAGGCGTCCAAGAAATTATTACTTGAAGTCCATATTGACCGGCAAGCCTTGCAAGTGGAATGCCCAAATATCTTCGCAGAGTTGAGGAGGTGTCAGCTAGACATCCTCTATGATGAACCTGAGGAGGTGAATGTACTGATGGTACGGGAGTTCTATGCGAACTGCCCGGAGCATGTCAATGGGGTGGTCAAAGTACGAAACACCCGGGTAAATGCGTCACTTGAGGCCATCCGCCGAGTGTACAGGCTGCTAGAATTCACTGGGGATACAGATCATTACCTTGTTTATCGCCACCAAAATGTCTGGTGGGCACAGATTCTTAAAACAATATGTATGCCAGAAAGGGAGTATATATGGATAAAGCACCGGATCACACTGAACTCCCAGTCTCTCAATTGGGAGGCTAAGTGTTGGCTCACAATTATCAACAGCCGGTTGCTGCCCTCCAGCAACACTACCGATGTCAATGGGCCATGAGCAGCAGCTATCTACTGTTTTGTGACCCGCCATGATTTTGATGTCTCCAAGCTCCTTCATGATGAGATGTTCATCCGCTCCCCAGAAGTACTCAAGGGGTTTTACTTCCCCTCTTCGGTTACCAAGCTGTGCCGTGCTGCACGAGTCCCTGAAAATCCCAGAGTAGATGGGAAATTGCTATTGAAAGCCCCATTCTGGGCTAGCAAAATCACAGTTGGGAGAGAGCCGGTAGTGGTAGTTGATGATGATGAGGAGGATGTTGAGGACGCTGCCGCCCCACCACAGCCAAGAGATGTTGAGGCAGGCCCATCCCAGGCCCGCCGAAGTACCCGCTTGACAGTCCTGGAGCAAGAAATGGCTGGCCTTCGCACTTCGGTCAGTGACCTGGGCACCAGAGTTGACAATTTGACTACTCAACATGCCAAGTCGGAGAAAAAGATCATGGGTTGGCTCCGGGCACTAGGACGAGCGTGTCACCTCGATCCTAGCATTGTATCCGATCAGGATTGAGCATTAGGGAAGTCCCATTACCTTACTCTGCTGTCTTTTCGTTGACATGGGAACATGCCAAAGCTTTAAGTGTGGGGTGGGGAATGGTTGTTGTTGTAAAAATTGTATAACTTTGTATGGTGTTGTTTTGTTGTTTGGTATTGTTGGGTTATGTTAGTTAAATTCGACTTGGCCCAAAAACGGACACCTCTCGACGGGTCTCTTGAGGGACATAAGTCGAACAAAAAAAAAGATTTTCGTTTGATTAGGTAGTGTATCAACTCCCCCTTGGTTTTTCTTTAGACCACGGTTCTTTTTCAAGGGTTTCTATTTGAACCGGTGTAGTTAGTTTTTCCTTTTTTAGTTTAGAAAGTCTTGGGCGAGAAATGGAAATAGGGACCCTTAACTCTATGGTACCTTGAATAAGAATGATTTAGTGTGACACTTAGGCTCTGTAGTTGACTCAAAGAAGGCCTTAAATTGTGTGTCCCTGAATGGCTCAAGTACTTAGAACGGAGTGTATGATGATCCTAACTGAATTGAGTCATGTGCCGTGTGTGAGTGAGGTTTTCTGTATTCTGTGTTAACATTCAATGCCTAGAACTTGCCCTGTGTGTGTGCAAAGCGAAATGGTAGCCTTGTTTGGTCTGGAAAGTGATATAGGCATTTCTTTGCTTAACCCTTCTATGTATGCTTGTTCCCACCTAAATGTGTATACCCTAGTCAACCCCGTTGAGCCTATAGGCCTGTTTTTCTTGGCAACCACATTACAAGCCTAACCCGAGTTTAAATAGCCTATCTTGTTGAACCCTATCACTTCTTAGAAGCATTCCAAGTGTAACGGATATGGAAAAATATAAGTGTGGGGTGGTTGGTTGGGCTGTTAAGTGGAATTAAGGGGACAAAAAGAAAAAGTACACTAGTTGATAAACAATATTAGCTGCTGCTTCAATGCATCTATTGCCACCATTCAATCAAGCAGGGACCTTTAGTCACGAACTTCAGAAAGAGGTTGAGGGCAGATATAACTTTGAGGAGGAGGAGAAAGTGGGCTGAATTTGTTTAAAAAGTGGGTACAAATTAAAAGTTTTTTAAAAAATGGGTATAGGTTAAATGGGGCGACCAAATAGAACGCCCCGTGCAATTTTTACGTCGTTTTCCATACACATCTTTTTGTGTAGATGTAACTATAAAACTATTGCCTTTATGTCGTTTTTGAATGTATAAATCCTACTTTAGGTTGACACATCAACGTTGAAAATTGAAATTATACCGAAATTAAAATGTACCATTCTTGTTTACAAAACTTTACTTCTTTCAATAAGTGTAAAAGAAATTTAAGGTTTCAATTCATTACTGATAATAGGCTATATAGACGCTATTTACACTCCAAACGTACCATACTTTATTGTTGTTTTAAAGGCTAAATGATAACAAAATACTCTAATTGGTGTTCTTTTGCTTTGCAGGGACTAATCCAAGTTAGGAAGAGACTATGGAGTGTTTTGGAGTCAATAATGTGGATATAAGGCCAATCAAGAAGAACCCAAACGAAAATAAGCAAGAAAGAGGCAAAGGAGGACTGGGCAAGGTGCCACCGTGACCGCGGTCGAGCGCGGCTGGACCGCGGTAGGCCAAGCAAGTGAGGCAGAATAGTTGTGTTTCACCGCGGTCGCGCCGCGTTCTGCCGCGACCGCGGTCGACTGTGTAACTGCCTAGAAATTTTGGGACTAAAGTGTAAATCGGGGGAAACTTATCCTAACCCTTTATAAACTCAACAAACTCGCCCAAGCAAAGGTTAAGCTTGTTTTTAGACTGAATTGGAGGCAAGAACAAGTGTGAGAAGAGCAATCAACCATTAGAGTTTTTCAATCTTCTCTTTGTTATCTTATTTTGCACATTATGAATACTTTAGTGATTTCATCTTGCTTTGTTATGAGTAGCTAAATACATTGTCTAGGGTTTTGATGGAACCTATTGAAGGATGAACTTCGTGTTATGTTAATATAATTTGCCCGGTTTATTCTCTATTTGTTCAACTACGTTCTTGTTATAGTTAATTGATAGGATCCTCAATTAGTTGTGCCTATTTAGTATGTATTACTCGGGAGAGAGTGCATATTTAGGCAATTGTTGAACAACACCACTCCCAAAGTATATGAGGGATCAATAACTGAGGGTTTAAAGGCGGGATTAGGGATAACGAAGCCTTGGGTGCAATCTAAAGTGAGCTGCAATAAAAGCCAGCTAGCATAACTCGGGAGAGTGCGTCTAGTAAATTGTCGTGATTTCTCGGGAGAGATTTACGGTAATAAGAGTGCTCATGATCGATAGAAACAGTAGGCAAATCTATATGAAACATAACAAGAAGGGATTCAATCAATAGGGGAAATCATAACCTTAAATCCTTCTCTTATTTGTTTACAACTCAATCATAGTTAGCTGTTAGTTCACTTGCTTATATTCAGTTATAGTTAGTTAAACCATCACCAATTGTTATTTAAACATCTGGGAAGTTGATTACAAAGAATTTTGTGAGTCTAACAAAAGTAATTGGTAGGTTAATTCTATGAGAATTCGACTCTGGGCTAAATACTCAGACTATATTTGCAGCGACCGCTTGTCCTTTTTATAAGGAATAGTTAGGCGTGATCAATTATAACGTAATAAGTGTAGTTAGAGATCTTTATAAATCATATAACCTCACACTATAAATATGAGATAATAAATGACTCGATATGCTTCAACCCACATAATTCTATTTTGCCCTTACACGTCAACTTTATACGTGTTGATGATGAGTTATAATTTCAGGAATGAAAGTTTTTCTTTAATAATAAAAAGAAAATAAATGCTGCTTTCCTCAACACACTAGGGAACGGTTAAGGTTTGTGAGCAAATGCCAAATAGAAGTTCCCCCAAAATCAGACGCTTCTTTTCCTCACACGTATACGACACATGTATACAATGGGGAGAATTGCAAGAATGACTCATGTTCCAAGCATGCCAATTCAAAATTAAACAACAAAACCCCCCATTGCATAAACAACAGAATACTAAAGTAGAGGAAATTCAGCTCAATTTTTAAGCGTCTTACAGAGGTATTACAGGTAAGACACTATTGATACCATCTTGCTATTTTCTTTCCTGTTTACGTTTTGAATTTTCTCTAGTTGTTCAACAGACAAAATTTGGATTTTCTCTAGGAAAAAAGGTCTTACAAGGAGTATTTGAGATATAAATTTCAAACTTAAAGACTGTTTATACAGGCTGATATAAGGGATTATATCATATGAACATCATGCAAGAAAACTATAAAGTATTATTGAACTTATTCTTATGCTATTAGAGAAATTCCTGAGAAAATCACAGTAGCTTAACTTGACAAGATGAAAATTTGATGTTTTAACCATGAAGCTGCACCAAGCACTTCAAACGGTGAAATGAAGTCTTGAACTAAGTAAATTAAATCCAAATACTTTGCAGGAATAGTGAAATGCTGATTAAAAATTCTAATTTTCGTGTGAGGGTCTGTCTTTGTTCCACAAGTTCAATTTGTGGACCCAAAAGACAAGTAGTCTTTATGGATCCAAAATCAGGAAAAATAGTCAGATTTACAAGTGGTCATTCAAAACTAGCCACAGTTTTAGAAGGTAATCGAAAATAGCCACTTTTCATTTAAAAGATAAATCTGAACGAAAACACTGTTCAAAATCCGAAAAAACACTCCAGCATAATATACCGGAACTCTAGCATAATATACGGAATTCCAGAACTCCAGCATAATATACTGGAACTTTACGCATGTTGGAGTTCCAGCATAATATGCTGGAAGTTCATACGCAGGTGCACCGATCTCCAGTATATTATGCTGGAATTTTCCGTGTTGCAGCAAAATAGTGGCTATTTTTCAATGTCTTTGCGAACGCTGGCTATTTTTGAATGACCAGACCGAAAACTGGCTAGCCCGTGCTATTTTAACTCCAAAATCTTGAGATTTTGGGTCCATTAATTCAACCTTGTAAAACAAATATAAATCCTCACACAAATTGGCAAATATATCCTCTCGATGTTGAAGCCAACTCATTTGTAGGAAAACTTCTGTCTCTATACACTTCTGAGAAACTTGGAATTAGCTACGAACTTCGTCGCTAATCTGTCGCTAGATCGCTTTAGCTAACATAATATTTTGATAATTTGTCACTAGTGTGTCGTTAAGTAGGATTAGCGATATATTTTGCTACATAATTTGTCCGTCGCTAATTCCTATTTTTTAGTAGTGATAATTAAGTTAACTTAGATGGCGAAGTAAAAGACAACTTAGTAAGTTAACTTAATTATATTATAGACACACAAGTTTTCTATAAATGGGTTTTCTTCAACATCCAAAGGATGCTTGCCAAGCTACACAAACTTATTATAATCGCAAAAAATTTCCTACCAATTGGCCGGCCTCATCATCCAAAGGATGACTTGCCAAGCTTGCAATTCAAAAAAAAATTGTAGTACAACCAACTTTAGTTGTTATAACTCAAAAGACATTCGTACTATAACAAGCCAACATTCGTACTATAATACTTGTTCCATTTTCATTTAAGGGTCGACTTTCTTATCCATTTCGAAAGAAAGAGTAAGAGAGAACCTTAGTTGGGAACACTTTGAGTTCCACCTGAGGGATAACTATGATAAGGTTGATCTCCTTTTGGACTTTAATTGATGGTTGTATAATTTGGTAATGGCCCTCCCGTTACAAGTTCTAAATCAAGCACCAGAAACGGAAGGAAGAAGAATTCTCAAAAGGTTTCACCAGAGAATATGAATTCAAAACGAAAGCCATCCAGCCATATCTTCATGTTTAATAATGTACCAGGAACCAATTTATTAAACCAACAGATCACCCACCATCATTCCTCATAGATTCCTTTGATTTATCAATCCTAATGAAAAGAAGAATTACTACGACTCCAGGTTTTTCAGCAACACAGAGGACCCATTATTAAACCATATAGGGTCAATCAAGAAAATTCATTTTGCTTCATTCAAAGCACAAGCCCGAGATTTTTCCAAAAACTTTCATGATTTTTTTAGCACTTATGTTACCAATACTGTATTTGCATTTAATTCAAGTGCAACGCGTTCAAGGATTTTGACAACATTGAACCTGCTCTTAAAGTGTTTCTACAGTTCAAGAGCCTCGAAGATGTTGGATAAAATATTTCAAAGATTCCTACAAAACAAAGATATTCATGTTCCATAGGCCGGTAAAGATTATTAATGGAAAGATCCCAAGCAAAAATGTCGTTCTGGTTGAATTTTCCCCCTCTATTTTATCCAGGGCCAGGGAAGAAGAATACAGTGAAAGTACAAAGAATTATTTTCCAGCAAAATGAGTGTATTCCATGAGAAATAAGACCAAAGGAATGGGCTAGTTGGAATTATACCACCACTCATCTCCATTGGGAACGAGTCTGAGAAGCAACAGAGGAATATCAGACGCCTTACGAAGTCACTCAAGATGAATTCACTCATGACATCGCTAGATTGAGACTATATATTACATCTCATATCCCGCATCGCTAGATTGAGACTATATATTACATCTCATATCCCGCAAAGAAAGGAGAAGGAATACATCGAAATAGGAACGTCAAGCAGTATTACACAAGATCATTAAAAATAAGCCTACAAGGCCAGATACGGAGCAGAATCGATTTCAGGCGATCATGAGGATTTGAATCTTAACCCATGCTAATCTCACCTTTCACACATTACTTTCCGAAAACCCTAAAGATCATCTATGCATATCAAGACAATAAATTTCATATTTTCATACTTCCACATATATATCACTCCGCTTTCACCTGCTTCCACATTCTTTATCGTGTATACTATCCCCTTTTTTACATGCTTTCATAAGCTTTGTTATGTATAATAGTTGTTTTACTTAAGGTCCTTCATATGTCTACCGGGACCCACTTGTAGATAAGTTTGCCATTTTGTCGGGTAATAGTAGTACTTGGAAGATTACCTTGTAGCCATTGTAAATCTTCGTGATATACTATATATGAGTTCCTTTTAATTTTTCTCTTTGTTCTTTCTTTCGAAATGGATGGAAGGGCCCATCTTCATATGAAAATGGAGTAAGTAAGTATACTCTAAGAAAGTTAGCTTGTTACGGCACGAACGTTTTTTGATTTATAACAGCTAAAGTTAATTATTGTACAAAAGTTTTTTGAGTTGTGTAGCTTGGGAAGTCATCTTTGGATGTTGAAGCCGGTCCTGGTAGGAAAACTTTTGAGATTATAAACAAATTTACTGTTTGCGTTGCTTGGCAAGCTATCATCTAAATGTTGAAACTAGCCCATTTAGTAGGAAAGTTTTCGTGTCTATAATACTTAGTTGTATCTTACTTTGTTATTATATTTCCCGTATAATGCTTCCAGCTTTTACATCGTTTGAGCTTTGGAGATGTCAAACATAAGAAAATAAATAAAGTTCTGAATAGAACAACATAAGAACTGATTTGGCAAGTCTCGGAAAATTATGGTGACTCTAGAATGTGTGATCCTGCTGAAAACTAAAATAGATTATTTTCATCTTTTCAATCGGTTGTAGAGTAGAAGAACATGGCTTCAAGACAAGCAGCAAAGGAAGAAAGAGCTGAGGCAGCTGCAAGGGAAGCAGCTGAGGAACTTCATGATGTGAACAAGGCGAGGACAGCACACGAGCAAGGTAGCATGATCCATGATGAAACTCAACAAAATGAGCAGAGCTCTGGCGTAATCGGAAGTATTTTTAAGTCGGTTAAAGAGACGATCACAGGGAAAACTCATGACACAGCCGAGGCGACAAGAGAGAGTAAGGATGTCGCAGCACAGAAGATTCATGGAGCTTCTGACACTGCTGGTCAAAAAGCTAGGGAGGCTGGAGAAAAAATGGGCGAGTATAAGGATTACACAGAGAAGAAGACAAAGGAGATGAAGGATTCTGCTGCAGGAAAGGCGACACAAGCCAAAGACGCTACAATAGAAAAAGCAAGCGAATACAAAGACTATGCGACAGAGAAAGCTAAGGAGACAAAGGATTCCTTAGTGGGACCAGCAACTGAACTTAAAAACAAAGCTGCAGATAAGGCAGAGGAGACTAAGGATTACACAATGGGAAGAGCTGGTGAATACAAGGACTACGCTGCTGAGAAAGCTAAAGAAGCGAAAGAAGCTACCATGACAACAGCCAGTGACTATAAGGATTCAATGGCTGATAAAACAAAGCAAACAAAAGACGCAACAATGGAGAAAGCAGTGGAGTGTACGGACTATACAGCAGAGAAAGCTAAAGAAGGGAAGGATACCACCTTTGGAAAGATATCTGAGCTAAAAGATACAGCTGCTGATGCTGCCAGAAGAGCTGTGGGTTTATTGACAGGGAAAAAGGAAGAGACTACTGATGCGGCACTGAGAAAGGAGGAACCAAAGGTGAGACCTTAATGGTTTCTGCTACTTGCTTTATTCTCCTTTAGCCTTTAGTCTTATGTCTTAACTCCTCTAGAATATGTGGTTGTGCATCGTTGTGTTTGTTCAGTAGTCGTATATGGTTGACGCGAGTTAAGGTCTGACGAAGTGGATATACGGTAAACCTGTCTACTACTGAAGTACGGACAAAGTTGATAGGCAGTATAACACACATGAGACTTGCTAAGGATGGAGCTCCTTATATTAAATAAAATGTGTAGTTGACAACCGGAAACATGAGGGGCAAGTTTCCATACTTTCTGAGTGGCAAGTCTCCATACTTTCTGAGTGCATCGACCATCTCCGTGACTCACATTTGAGTTTCCGAAATATTGAGGAATACGTTTTTATTCTGCCGACATTTGTTGAAATGTTATGATGTCTGATCAGCTTTAGCACTTCAACCAATCTCTGTACCTCACAGGAACTATATCAAGAAACAGAGGACAATGCAAGGAAAATGATGCAAGAACTTAAGCTCAAAGAAGAAGGAATCCAGGATGAGACTAGGCAGAGAGCCGAGGCAGATAAAGAAACAGCAGCTGCTAGGTGACACTATTTTCCTTTTTGTCAGATTAATATGTTTATGCAATGACACAGAGACATGAGTGTGAAGTGTTTCTAAATTACATATACCTACGCTGGCCCACACATGCATATATAGATTTTCAGATTGTTTGCATATAGGCACACTCTATTTGAACAGATTTAGCTGAACAACCTGCGCTAATCCTCTTCTAATTAGTTCTGTTGCTAGTCTTGAAATAACAGCTAACACCATTTTCTTTGTGATGTTGAACAGGGGAAGTGCGGCAAAAAAGAACATCTATAGTGCAATGGGGAATCTAACAGGTTCCATCAAGGAGAAGTTGACTATGCCAAGTGACATAGTAGAGGAGACACGTGCAGCACGTGAGTTGGGCGGACCGAAGAGGGGTAAGAGGACGGATGTTGCTGAGGGAAGTGATGTTGCTCGATCAGGTTTCGTTTTCACAACAGCAAAGGATGAAACAAGTTCATAGATATATAGATCTACCAATGTCAACTTGTACATTATCCTTTCTGTGGCTTATCCTATACAAAAATGAGGCATGTATAATGTCTTTGTTAGTTGCTGTTCACTTCCTATAAGCACTCAAGTGTAGAAGTATTACTATATATTAAGAAATGTTCGTTAAAATAACGAATGATGTCCATTATAGTTATGGTTATTTCATATCTCGAATGAAAGGATGTTGTAAATACGAAATAAGCTCATCATGCTGACGGAAAGCTTGTGTTACTAAAATTTCAGTTTAATCCATAGATTTATTTAACATTTGATGCATGAAGTTACAAAGACGCGCGTCGAGATAAATACAGAGATCAATTTGATTTGCTTGTTTCTGAAAATATCTCATCATGGTCTAGAGATAAATAAAGAAGTGGGAGCATAATTAAACTGGAACTCCAGTATATTATAATGGAGTTCCAGCACAAGTATGCTGGAATTCCAGCATATATATTGTACTGGAACTCCAGTATAACATGCTGGAAGTTCATACAGGTGCTCCGATCTCCAGTATATTATGCTGGAACTTTTCGCGTGTTGGAGTTAATGGTGCAATGTGGGCCGGGCCTGGTCCGGGACCGGACCGGGACCGCGGTCTAAATGGTCTAAACGGGCCTGGTGGGCCGGTCCCAAATGGTGCACAAGGCCCGTGGCGGGCCGGTCCAATTCAAGGAGCCCACGAGCCCGGGACCGCTAAGCCCGGGACGGGCAGGCGGGCCTGGGCCGGTTCAACCGGGCCCAACGGGCTCCAACGGTTATTTTTTTTAAAAAAAAAAAAAAAACCAACGGTCAAATTTTTAAAATCTAGCTGTTGGCCTTCAAAATTTATCCGTTGGCCACTTTAAAAAATAGCCATTTGGCCCCCAAACTTTATATAATTATACTTTTTCCCAATTCTCAACTATAAATACCCCTCATTCTTTCATTTTTACTCACCAATTCATCAATCTCTCTCATTCTCTCTCAATCTATATCTAATTTCTCTTCTATAATTGCTTATTTTATTATTGCAATTTCGTGAAAAATTGTGAAGTTGTTTAATTGAAGTATTCAAGTCTTCAAGTCTTCAATGATTTTCAATTTTCAAGAAGTTGTTCGGCAATTCGGTAAACTCGTTCCAACTCTTAAGTTTTAAGAATATATTTTTGTGTGTTTTAGTTTGCATAATTGTAATTAATATGGCATGTTCTTTGAAAAAAATGTTTGGTGGTAAGGGAAAAGCTAAAATTGGTGAAAGTAGTCGCCAACCTACTACCCTTCCCCCGGCTTCCCGACCCAGACCTGTTACCCGTCCTGCTGCTCCTATTATTCTTGATAGTGATAACCCTTGTTTTCAATTTTCCGATAGTGAATTTTGCCATAATGTTGCACCAGGTGAACAATTAAATGAAGAAGTTATGAATGCTCTTTATCCTAATCAAACTATCTTAGAAAATGATGAGGAAAATGAGGATGTAGATGAAACCCAACCGGATTTAGATGATACACCTACTAGTCCTGTTAATAACCCAATTGATGCTCCGCCCGACCTGTTTCCAAACCCCTACTTTTAA